TGACGTAACGTGATTGAGCGCAGCAGCGGGGTTCTTTTCATGCCAGATTGGTACATGTAGGGATAGACGTCAGATTTAAAGAGAAGGTACAACTGTAGGTAATTCGGTTATTTTCCCTCCCACCCACCCGAATATCTGTAGATTCACTCTGTAGTTCGATCTCATTTTTGACCCAATACTTAATAGAGCTGCGGAGTGAATAAGAATAAGTAAAGAAACTGAGGATATGTAATTACCCGGGTATGGTGATGTGGTTTGTTAAGGCCAATTGTTGCATTAATCAAACGTCGACAGAAAGCCCTACCTGGAGCTATAACTCTACATGCAAAATTTAACAAACCCAATAAAGACTGAAGTTGCTTAAGAGTAACCTTCTTAATTAAGTGCCATAATGTCGAGAATCTTTTGTTTGATTTCATCGATTTTTACCAACGGTAACCTCATGATCATTTCCACCATATCAAACTCAATGCCCAAGAACGTAAGAACCTGCGTTGGACATACTGTTTTCTCGTTTGCAATAGGGACCCCCAGATACAATATAGTTGCACAGATAAAGAAAAGTGTCTAACGTATTTTTGCAAATGGAAAGTTCTTTGCTACAGAAAAGAAAGTCATCTAGATAATGCAGAATTGAGGCATTTTTTGAGCGATCCTGTATAAGCCAATGCAGAAAGCAAGCAAATCTGTCCCAAATTGCACAACTTATTTTACAACCGAAAGGTAGCATCTTGTCGTAATAAAAACCATCACTGAAGTGAAAATCTAACAAGTCGAAATCAGTGCTGTTCACTGGTAGCAACCTAAAGGCTGATTTAATGTCCGACTTTGCCAGAAAAGCCCCCCGACCTAATTTTGCAATAATGGCGGCAGCATCATCTATGGTTGAATAGGTTACTGAGCTCTGTTCTAGGTCAATGAAATCATTTATTGAAGCAGATTCTGGATATGATAAATGGTGAATGAGGCTGTAGTCACCGTCTTTTTTAGGTACAAGACCTAAAGGAGAAACTTGTAATGTTGGAAAAGTTGGTTCTATGAAGGGACCCGCAACTCTCCCCAATGAGACTTCTTTATAGATCTTTTGCTCTGCAACTGGATATTGTTTGTCTAAACTTGTAAGATTCTTTGAAAACCTGGGTGATCTAGGGCCAAAATACTGTAATTTAAAACCATGTTGAAAACCTTCCCTTAAGAATTGATGATCAGAATAATTTTGTGTATGGAAAAAAAATTTTGTCTAGTTTAATTGGGGTCTTGCCCAATTTATACAGCTGACTTGGTGGAACAGGTTGTGGCCGGGTGCTTGCCTCCGCACCTCCTGCAGACGTGCTTGAATCTGCATCTGGGGAAGAAATTGCACTTTTTACCCTGATTGAAATGATAGCAATACTGGGTAGCAGCGGATGTGCTGCTCTCATCTAAATTTTGTTTAGTATTGTTGAAATGATTTTGACTGCCAAAAGAATTTGAACTTTGGTTGGTCACATACAATAGCAGGATTGCTAGCTTTGCGTAGCCGATATTGTTCATCGTATTTGAACCAGCCCTGTGATCTAGAGGCAGCTAGTCTGATATCTCTCATGTATTTTAAAAACTCTTGGGCCCTAGTACGATATTTCTTTAACATAACACTCATGTAAATCATAAAAGCATTTGTCCATTTTTCAATTGTCAAATATGAACCAACCTTTGACTTGACAATACAAAGTTTCCCATCTCTAATTTTAATTTCCCCTTGTCCTCCCAAACTATCATTAATCTCTTTGGCTGATTTTAACAGAAGACCTAACTCGATAAACTGTCCATCCCAAATTTTTTGTTTTAACTTCAAAGGGATGTGTTGACCTACATTATCAAAACAGCAAAGTTCTGGGACAGGAGTGAAATCAGAAAGATTTACAACAAGGGAGAAATCTGAATCAACATTACCAATGATTGGTGGTGCGAATTCCCCCAAGTCACTGTCAGGTGAAGCATCACTCCCTGCAACAGTCTCTGGTTCGGCATGGTGGGGGGATGATCGTTCCTTTGCGCTCCAGGCCTTTGCTGCCTGGGAGAATGGCGAGGCTTTTTGTGCCCTCTGCCCCTGGATGGCGACACCATCTCCCCTCTGATATCTCTTTTCCTTTTTGGTGGCATAGTGATTAGGATTGGACTGGATTTTTTGTTGATAACTTTTACTAATGACCAAACTCACTGGGATGTTGAAGATGAAGAGGAAGTTGCTATGCTAGTTAACTCATCCTGAAGCTGACTTTCCCATGAACTAGATAACTTGTACCAAGTTGTGTCTTATTGTTTAATGCTATCCAAACAATTAAATGAGTTATCTCATATTCATTTCAATAATCTATATTATATTTACATTCGCTGTGTTTTTTCTGCAAAGCCAACTGTGAAATTGATTTGAAAGTCATTTTTGTGTATACTCACGCGTAGAAATATACACGGAGAAACGTGCGCTAACGTGACTCACAATTAGGCTACAGCAACGTTAGTAAAAGTATAACGATATAGGGCAGCGAGAAATTCAAATATTGAATATATTTTTGATGCTAGCGCGCTTCATGAAATATGCCTACGTGACAAGTCTGTGTGATTCACACACCAATAACTCACACAAAACTTAAAAACATTCCTTAAATAATGTTAACCTACTGTGGTATATTTAGGACATACAATAATTTTTTTTTTTTTAATACCAGAAAAAAATTATCTTGTGAAAACGACTTATTATCTTGTGAAAACGAGATATTATCTTGTGAAAACGATATATTATCTTGTGAAAACGAGATATTATCTTGTGAAAACGACTTATTATCTTGTATCTTGTGAAAACGAGATATTATCTTGTGAAAACGAGAAATTATCTTGTGAAAACGAGATATTATCTTATGAAAACGAGATATTGTCTTGTCAAAACGAGATAATATCTTGTGAAAACGACATATTATCTTTTAAAGATATTATCTCGTTTTCACAAGATAATATCTCGTTTTCACAAGATATTAAGTTGTTTTCACAAGATAATATCTCGTTTTCACAAGATAATTTCTCGTTTTCACAAGATAATATCTCGTTTTCACAAGATAATATCTCGTTTACACAAGATAATATCTCGTTTTCACAAGATGATATCTCGTTTTCACAAGATAATATCTCGTTTTCACAAGATAATATCTCGTTTTCACAAGATAATATCTCGTTTTCACAAGATAATAAGTCGTTTTCACAAGATAATTTTTTTCTGGCATTTAAAAAAAAAATAATTGCGTGTCCTTAATATACCACCGTATTATTAAGGTCAAGATCTAGTAAATGAAAGATGCCTACAGATTTATCAAATTTGAGAGATAAATTCCTTCATTGATGCTTTACAACTTTAGCTTGGTCAAATATGGTGTTTCGGGGCATGATTTGTAGGTAAACATGATTAAAAACTGTATTTTAAACTGTCATTTTCAATAAAAAATTAAGAAAACCAGTCACGAATATGGGAGTTTTTTTCATATTCGACTCAGAAAATGTATCCAGATTGCCTACAGTCTCACAGAAAACGGTAATTAGTATGTTCGTGGCCTCTTCTTGAAATCAATATCAAATTTAATATAGGTTTCCGGTTTACTTTTCACATGATTTCAAATTGAATGTCATGAAAATACCCTTTTTTCTACATAATTCTGCTAAAGCCGTAAAGTACGGGAAAAAGAAAGTTGAAATTGATTATGACGTCATAATGGATATAGCACCAAAAAATTAGTCCAAAGTTATTTACTAGATCTTGACCTTAACCAATAATCATACGCGACATTTTTTTATTTGCAGATCGTCAAATAAATGAAAAACAAGGTCGGCAGAGGTTAGTATCCGTCACATAACTTTCCTATTTATAAACTTTTTAATTTCTAAAACTTGTGCCTAGTAGAATGTTCAGTCAAGCATCGAAGTGTGTACATGTACTACATGTATTAGTTTCTTCGGATAAGGGGAGGTACATGTACCAGTTTTCGCTGCATTTGATTTCGGAATTTTGCATTGCATTTCCGACAATTAATAATGTCATTTCTAAACATTCATTATTTTCATTCTGCATTTTTACACCATATTTCTAGCAATTCAAGTTTACAAAGTAGATGGAATCATAATTTTAATAGAAGATATTTGGTGAAAGGCTAGTTGCAGATCTGTAGCTCGCTAGCTGGGATGGATCACCAGAGAGCTACAGTGCCACCCATATTTAAAAAAATATACTTATTGCGTTCAAAAATGCGCTTGGTTCATGATTAATTTCTCCGAATTGTTACCTCAACTGCACGAAAGATGGATTTCAAAATGTTTCTGAGACCTTTATCAAGTACATGTACTAGTAATTGACATCTGCAAGAAGCTCGTTGGACAGAATTATCTTGCCACCCAAAATTAGACGATATTTTCAATATCTCAAATTCAGGAGGACTATTTAAAACGGTTGTAAGGAATGTTTTGTTGTAGAAAAAGTGAAGGAATGTTCTAGAGACACACCGTAAGTAATATTTTTAGCTTGCAGCAGTTGAAAAACAAGGATATTGAATATAGCTTCAGCGCATTTTTTTTTTTTTTTGTGCACAATTAAATTAAATATACAATTTTTTTCAATGGATGGCACTGTAGCTCTTTTGTCGGACAATTTAGCTTTTCTGCAGCAAGTGAAAGGCTGGAAATTTATACATGTACCATGTACGTGGTACTGACGACCTTTGAGCATACGCAGGAATACGGAGGAAATGAACAATATTTCAGCCCAAAATACAGTTCAAACAATATAATAAATCAATAGCAGCACAAAGACAGACTCGTTAAAATCAGAATTGGAATCAGGCGACATTAATCCTTTTTATGCCAGTACCTACCCCGTAACGAGACCGTTGCGTATCGCTCTCATCGAAAGGACCGGTCTTCGCGTCTTGAATCCACAACGTACATATATGCATGTACTTGAATAATATGTATTTATAAGTTTTTAAAGAAATCTCATGAAGGAAACTATATTTATTTTCTAATATTTTTTAGGTTTTTTTATTATTTGTATTTCTCAATTTAATCAAATTACATCTATTTATTTTTTAGGGAACATTAAACCTTACTCGTCAGCCAGTCTGTCCATTTGTCACAAGAACTTTTAAACTTGATAATAACTTTTGAATGAGTTGAAATAGGACTTTCATATTTCTTATGTGCATTGTCTTTTGACATTTTCAAAAACAGTGTGATTTTTGATCCTGTGACCTTGATCTCAAAGCTTGACCTACTTAAAAAATAACATTACTTTAAATTGATCATAACTTTTCAAGGCTTCCATTTTATAAACGTGTATTACTTGTGATAAGACCTTTCAAAATTCAACATGACTTTTGACCCCTTGACCTTGAAGTTTGACCCGATTTTCAAAAACATTAACAATACTCATACCTTTTGAATGAGAGAGATACATGTAGGGCTTTTATTTTATCCCTGTGTATTACCCGAGACAACACTTTTCTAAATACACTGAATTTGACTCATGACCTTGAGGCTTGACTTACTTTTCACAATTTTAACCTTGGTCATACTTTTGAATGAGCTGAGATACAGTAGGGCTTTAATATTAAAATATTTTTTAGTTTTTTTTATTATTTGTATTTCTCAATTTAATCAATTTACATCTATTTATTTTTAGGGAACATTAAATATTACTCGTCAGCCAGTCTGTCCATTTGTCACAAGAACTTTTAAACTTGATAATAACTTTTGAATGAGTTGAAATAGGACTTTCATATTTCTTATGTGCATTATCTTTTGACATTTTCAAGAACAGTTGCTTTTGACCATGTGACCTTGATCTCAAAGCTTGACCTACTTAAAAAATAACATTACTTTAAATTGATCATAACTTTTCAAGGCTTCCATTTTATAAACGTGTATTACTTGTGACAAGACCTTTCAAAATTCAACATGACTTTTGACCCCTTGATCTTGAAGTTTGACCCGATTTTCAAAAACATTAACAATAGTCATACCTTTTGAATGAAAGAGATACATGTAGGGCTTTTATTTCACCCCTGTGTATTACCTGAGACAACACTTTTCTAAATACATTGAATTTGACTCAGTGACCTTGAGGCTTGACTCACTTTTCACAATTTTAACCTTGGTCATAACTTTTGAATGAGAAGAGATACTGTAGGGCTTTCATATTACACAAAAATCAAATGTACGTTACCTGTGATGAAATCTTTTCAAATACTAGTATATAATAAACTTTGACCTTAAAGTTTAACCTGTTTTTTTTTTCTCAAAATTTCAGCATTGCTTAAAATTTGACCATAACTTTTGATGGAGAAAGGGTAGTGCTTTTATACCTAGTGTTATACAGCTCTGACAATGCGTATCCAAAAATTATTGCTTATACATGTATCATGCTGAGTGTGTCATGGCCTTGAATCAAGGTCATTTAGGATAAGATGTTTCGGCTGGATGCATAGTCTGAAAGAACATGTGGGGATTTTAAATACGGTAACACACAAATGGGATATGCTCATCACCAGCGTGTGTCATGGTGTGATTGCAAGGTCATTTTGACAAGGTCAAGGTTACAAACATTCCTTTACTATCTTTTTTTTAAAATAGTAAAACATTATAAGATGATGTCTACCTTTAAAAGATTGCTTTAACATTAGAATGTGGCATGACCTTGACTCAACGTCATTTTTCCCTGTCCACAGCTCTAACGGAAGACCTACTCGTTGCTTTGCAACGAGTTTGGCTCTAGTTAAACATAGTTTTGTCTAATTAACAAAAGATTAAAAACGCCCGTGACATCTTTCATGCTTTCTAATCTTTGTATTTTGTTCATAAGAATTTTTTTTTAATTTTGCACTCCATTGACATGATCATAGATTGACCTGATCCACGTGTTCGAAGTAAAATGTAAATATGTATTTGGCGTAAACCTTGCTATTCAGCGATTTGTCAGTTGCTCGTGGTAAGATCCTCTGTGCGTATTAATAAAAAAAATAGCCTTTAAGGCAAACAAATGTTTGTCAGTTTAGATGACATTACAATATTTTTACCAGAGTATCGGTCACAAGAGTGCTCTAATTTTCGCCGTAAATTATAAGATATAATGTTATTTACCCCCCCCCCTTTTTTTTGGGCTACCAATTAGGGAAGTCTTTCAG